GGGAAGGGGGGAAGAAGGAGGGGAGAAATATTCGTGCGTTCCCCCGCGAGTGAGAAAGAGGGACAAAGAGTTGAACGAACCCACGCGCGGACTAAACCTTGCTAATTTTTTAAAGACCCACCTCCGACCAGTATTTCTACTATCGGAGAGGCTGCTGGCGAAGCGATGGAGGTTCTGCTGCGTAATAGAGGCGGATTTTCGTGACCAATCACAGTGGTCCTTGCGAGACCAAGAAATTTACCGTAGACATTCTCACGACGCAAATGCGACTTCTCTCTCTCTCTCGAGATTCTTTCGCCGAAGATATCTCTCTCCGAAATGGAACGGATTTAAATCAGCGATGAAAATCGGGTCAACCGATAGTGCTTTCGACATGACTTTAGGAGGGATAGTTCCTTCTGACTATTTCACATATTGATACTCGAAATTGTAAAGGACAAGAAACTATGCAATTCAATAAGAAATATTCTTAATCGTGTTTTTTGAGTTTTAAGTTTTAATTTCAAGTCGATACCTATGTCGTTAAAAATTTTATTATTATTTTCATACTAAATTACAGAATAATTGTCAATAATATGCTATTTTTATTTTATATGTAGAATATTATTAGACCTTATCAACAGAAGAAATTGTGTTAGCGATAAAAAAATTCTACAAATTTTGGTCGATGTTAAAAAAGCAAAAAAAAAATGTTTTTATGTCATTAATGATAAATTACATTAAAATGTTAATATTCTCTGTCAGAATTCAGATCGATTACATATTATTTATCTCGAGTGATTGAAATTCTTTTATTTCAGATCTTAAGATAAGATTTTGTAAAACTCTATCGCAGACATATTTGTATATTGTGTGATAATAAAATATTTGTATAACGAACGTGATATGAGTGTTTATACAGAAATTAATAGCCACGATCGTCGTTTACAATCTACGAAACGTATCCAAAGTATCTAAGCAACAAATGGAATTCATTAACATTTCTGTTACTCAAAGGCATTCCTATTTTGATTACCTATTTATTGCTCGACATTTAAAATGATGATGATAATAAGGCACGCGAGCAGCGTAAAATGTCGAATGCTTCATTTTACTTTTAGTCATTTTACAAGACAAATATTTCCGAAAGCGAGCATTAAGGTCCTACTATTGATCGCGTTTCGTATAAACCTCATGTTTACACAGGGATTAGGAAACCGATTGTGAGGAACGAGGAGTCATCAACGAGACACGGTTTGCCGCGATGAATTAACGAATCGCCAAGCGAAAATACGCAGTCGGTGTAATTTCAGCACGTGTACCAGCCTCCAAGGCCGAGGCGTGCTTCGAGACTCAGTATGCAAATAAAAAACGGAAGTGCCGCGAATAAAGCGACGGTATTGTAGTAGCAGAGGCATGCTCTGACGAAAGTTCGTTTCGGGTATTCATGGCGTTCAGTGTTGCGTCACGATACGTATTATTTATAAGAGAGAAAAAGAAATTCTTTTTTTTTTTCAATAAATAAAATATCAGAAATAAGAGAAACAAAACGAGATTTATAAAATTTACATTGGTAAAATTATTGTAAATTTTGACTAGAGATTTTCAGAACGACTTTTCTCTCATTTTCTACCGTTGTACCGAGAGAAAATTTTATGTATTCAATCTTGTTCGAATGACGTTACGTTAGAAGATGCAACATTCTACGATCGCAATGTAGCACCTTATGTGGTACAACGCTGTCACACGCAGGTCCGATTATCTCATGAGAAAACGGAAACGACCGACGCGATTCTAGCGAAAGAATATATAAAATTCTCCTATCTCTTGTAAACTTAACAACGCGTGATTGTGATTGTGAAACAATAGTAGTCCGTTTTTCCTGGCATTTAATTGACGGCTGTTAAATAATTATAAATGGAAAAAAAAACGATGCAACCGTTTCGCTATCTAAATCGATGCAGAGATAAGAACGCTGTTTTTTTTTATATCCTCTGTAGTTAAAATGCATTGAAAAAATAATAGTATTATTTGTATATCTAACGTATACATCTAACGTAAACGTGGATATCTCACGAAAGATATCTCAATATATTATCTCGATGTATTACACTAGAATTGAATTATTCGATATTGGGTTATCTTACATTGTAGATATTATATCAGAAGATATCGGTATTACATTATTTTCGCATCTTACATCGACATATGTCACGTTGTTTAAATCATTAAAATAACTTAAAATATATCCCGAAGATGTCTCAGTATTAAATCGAATCGACGATTTCTTCTCATCGATAGCGATAATTTATAGAAATATGGGAGTTTATGGAAAATCGCCGATTTAATTCGCTGCTGCGAATCGCGTCTGCGAGAAAAGAGGAAAAGACGGAAAAAGTTAAGAGAACGGACACCAGGCGTGGATTTTCGGGGGATGGCTGTGCTTTTTTCTAGGGAGTCGCGAGAGCACGTGCCCGGGTGAGAGAGCACGCGCGTGACGTCAGCGTGCGTCTGGGAACAGCTGACCGCATTCCACAATAATTGTTTTGCATAATCGCGGTGGAAGCGGCCGCTCTCGGTGGTAGCCTCACAGTGCCCGCGAACAGGAGAAAGAGGCCGACGCAGAGAACGAGAAAGGTGGAGGTGGAGAAAGTAGAGGGGAGAAAATTCGAAAGGGCCCTCCAACGTAGTTGGGGTGGGGCTGGGGGACGGAACGAAGTGGGAAGAGAGGGCCCTGGTCCAGCCGTCAATAGCTACGCGGCCAACGTGTTGGCTTTTAAAGTTTAAAGATCCAACCGCGACGTCGGCGGCGGCGTCTAAGTATGCCAGTAGTGCTCAACTCACAGCGCTCCGACGGATCTCTGTTTCTCGTGACGAAACGTACATTCCGAAGCTGCGCAATTACGTACTTAGAGATACCGCAAGAAATTTGGCATTTTTCCATTCATGATGGACGCTATCCTTTTCAAGAATCTTCAATTTACAATATTAAGCAATCGTTACGGTTAAGCGTCATCGCCTGTTACAATGAACACCACAACTGGAACTAGCGAGGGGAAAAAAAAATTGTTTCTTATTTGCGTTATAAAGATGACTCATCTTGCGATATTGATCGTATATGCTTCCGAGAAGCATCAATGACTCGACGTCGCAAGAACCAAAGTAGTTATAATTCGAAACAGGAGCAAACAAGATCACGAAAGCACGGATAATGACGACAGTGACAAAAGATCTCGAGATGAAATGTCTGCAAAAAGAGATTAAGGAATATTACGAATAGCTAGCGCGAGATATTTGCGACGTATATGATCTTGTTTAGCAGCATCTTGCCACGTCCCACGCGACCCACATTGCGCTCTTTCGCGAAGATGTGGCAATTGCCTTTCGTGCATCTTATTTGGCAGTCTAGGACCTCAGGATTATTAGAACGATGAAAATATTAGAGGCTATTACCTTTATAAAATAATTCTTCAATGGTTAGAATATCCGTGAGATGACACGCTCAGGAATTCCTTGACTCTGCAAAAAATCAAAACGCACGCATTAATTTTATTTATAGTATAAGAAAACATGCATATAAAAAAGCGAAAGATAAAAATAAAATTTCTACAATCTTTTTTACACATTACAGTTTCTAAAGATTCAGCATCTTGATGCACGGAATTTGGCACGCTTCGCACTAAATGGCAGAGATCGAGGGACACAGTAATCTTAATGACACTTTCTGTTTCGGAAATTATGAGACGTTGAGCAAGTCAACGATGCTGTCAAACGATCGAATCGCTTAGAAAAACTGACGCAATGGCGAAACTTCGCACATTTTATCCATCGATATAGGATATGTTGGTCGCAACAGCAAACTACGAACGTAAGGCATTTTGCAATCCCGGCCGCACGTCTCCGAGAATGGTGTGTCGCGCACATAGTTGTCGCGTGACGTTGGCGGAGAAACGACGCCAACGACAGGCGACCCCGGGAACGGCGATACGGAGAATAATAAAAAGAGAGACACACCGCGCCGTTGCGTCGATCATCCGCGGTTCCGTGAAAAACCGAAGCGAGCAAATATCGCGCCGGCATTGATCTATGCACAATCGACTATCACTCGATGCGTAAGAACGATATGTTTTCCCGCAAATGATATAAATATATCAAAGATGATCATTATTTTTCTTCATTTGTCGATTTAATTTTACACTCAACAACACTTTAATATAAATATATCAGCATTTTCATATCTTACGGCCGAGAGTTTTACGTAGCTTTCCGTCATGTCGTTTCAATCGAATTACCTACATTTATGCGGTTTACGGATTATCGCACAATTATACGTAATTTAGTAGCGCGTATTTGAAGTAATCGTATGTACAATAAAAATGCCATTACACGAAGAGTGAATTAATAAAAATCATAGGATTTCGTTTGTTTTACACGAATTTAAGAATTTTACTCCTCTGGATCTTAATTTGGCATAATCTCCTTGGCATTTCAAGCTTAGGGTTGAATTACACGTCGCGATACTCGAAGATACTCGACTTGCTGCGATACCCGACATTCGATACTGGTTTTCCTCGCGTGCACGCCCGACTTTAACCGTCTGCGTTTTTTCCCTCTTGCGACACCCGTTATCGGATCAGTCGGATCGAATTAGTGGAACGAGAGAGAACTGAGGAACGCGACCGAAATCAATTTCCGTGCGACCTTCGCGGCGGCAAACGGCGACGGCGGCGGCGGCAGCGACGACGACGACGACGACGACGACGACGACGACGACGACGACAACAGCAGCGGCGGCGACAATTCGCGGACAAATTTTTGCGCGCATGACGAGAGACTGGAGAGCGAAGATAGGAATATTTTCCGCGATGATCCACTTCTATCGCTACATCCTGCAGAAGAGAGAGAGAGAGAGAGAGAGAGAGAGAGAGAGAGAGAGAGAGAGAGTAGGT